AAGTCAGCCTTAGCAATCACAATGATGTCGTCTGCAAAATGAAGGTGAGATATACGCAGATCATGGGATCCAAAGGAAAAAAAGGCCCACTCCTTATTATGGATACTGTCTTGGATAAGATGGATAAGTCTTTCAATACATAGCACAAATAAGTAAGGGGATATAGGGTTCCCTTGGCGGATACCTCTAACAGGCTAGAAGGTTTTAGTGGTGCTATTATTCCAGTTAATAGTTGTTAAAGAAGAGGTGATACAAGTTTGAATGAGATTAATAATATCAGTCTAAAAACCTATCTTTTTAATGTATCTATGATAAAGTTTCATCTAAGCTTATCATAAGCTTTTTCTAAATCTAGTTTAACTATCATAAACCTATTTCTACCCCTAAGCTTATGGAATAAGTGAAAAATTTCCTAGAGAATCAGGGAGTTATCAATTCCTTGCCTACTAGGGATGAATTTGCACTAGTTAGCAGAGATCAAGTGAGACAAGAAGTCTCTTAGCTTATTGGCCAGAATTTTGGTGATTATCTTGTAGATCACATTACATAGGGACGTGAGCTTGAATTGTCTAATGGACTCAAAGCTTTCAAATTTAGGGATAAGGGTGAGGCAAGTGTTATTAACCTCAGTAATTACACTTAACCTTAGTAATTCTCTTAGGATCATGAAACATAGACAACACAAAATCATATATAAAGTTTTCCAACACCTTGCATTGATTCTTAAAAAATAGGGCATGAAGCCCATCAGGCTTAAAGGCCTTGAAATTCACAATACTGAATAAGGCAATCTTAACCTCTTCTATGAAAACTTTGAGAGAGAAAGAGAATCCTTCTATCAGAATCTCTCAGGGAACGGTCCTAGGGGTTGGAATCATAGTATAAAGACTTAAAGTAATTTAAAGCTGGAGTTTTGAAATCAGAGGAATCACAAATCCAATTCTGGTTGTTATCTTTTAAATCTTCAATTTGATTTTTCTTTCTCCTACCTATAGCAGCCTATGAAGGAACTTAGTATTCCTATCTCCTAAGGTCATCCAATTGGCTCTATATTGGTGATATCAATAAGTTTCCTCCTAATCTAGAATGAGCTAATACTCTTTCCAAAGGGTTCTCATAAGATTGGTAAGGAAAGGGTTGATTTCATATCCTAACTTTCTAGAAATGCCTTTTGTTCTACACAGTAATCATCTTTTTCTTTGAACAATACCTAGGATTTAGAAGGCATCCAAGACTTTTTGACTTGATCATAGAAGTCAGGATGGAAGAAACAAGGGGCAAGGAATTTAAAGTTTTTAGATTTCTAGGTGGGGAACTTTCCATTAGGGATTTTCAACCACAGGCCAAAGTGATTGAATTTTGAGAAGGGAATATGTATGACAATACTATTAATAAAGGTCATATCCCAAGTGTTATTCACAACAACCCTGTCCAGCCTTTACTTTAGATTTCCTTTATGTCATGTAAAAGGGTTTCCCTTGAAGCCTAAGCCTAAGCCAAAGAGACCACATTGAAAGAGACAATAAGCAAATCTATTAAGTATTCTAGGATTTGGTGGTTTACCTCCTACTTTTTCAGTACTATACAAGATAAAATTAAAGTCCCTAGCCAACGATCAAGGGCATCTGATAGTGGAACTAAACTCAATTAAATCCTCCTAATAGGTCGCCCTATGATGTTCTTAGGGGCTAGCATAGATAGAAGACTAAATCTAGTCCCCATACTAGGTGTTTTAACATTAAGGTGAATGAAATATTTTAGAGACTTTTTTTACTATTCCAGAGGCACCAAATGCCTCAAAAGTATCCAACAACATCCATTTTTTCACACTTATCAAAATTATATTTCTTGATAACCATATCAGCTTTATCAGAATTAATTCTAGGTTCAAGTAGAACAATGAAATCTAATTTGTACATAGTAATAAGATCATTAACAAGTCTATAAAAAGCTTTACCACTAGCCTCTCTATAATTCTAAAAAATATAATTCATGGGTAAGAAAGAAACAATTAGGTTGCATCTGCAGGATGTTGTAAGGGTGCCTGACTAGAGGACTTACAAGGCTCAATGGGGCTAATATTTTAGTTACAGGGATATCTATATCCATAAGTGGCCCTGGGTCAAGAGGCTTATCAATTGGAAGTTGTACTATTGAATATTGAGATTTCCAAGATTTACTAAGATTCCCTCCTCGCAGGCCTTGGATATATTTGCCTCTAGACTTATTATTATTAATATTTTTATTCATTATATTCATGATTGCAAATATTTTCTTATGATTTGAACTAATATTGTTATGGTCATCCTTCCCATTACTCTCCTCATTAGTTATCATGGGTAGACTAGTCCTTTCTACTTCCTTATTACCAAGTTCAGTTTTATTTTTAAGTTTACCTTTAGTGAATTTTTTTTTTGAAAAGTTACACTCAGTATTCTCAGAGTCCTTTAGATCTTTACCCTTCTCCACTTTCCTATTTAGGCGTCCGAGTAGTTTCTTTAGATTTGTTTCTGAATTATGTTCAAGGTCTAGGCCTGAGTGCCCCAAAATATCAAATCTCGATCCTGAGTTTGCTTCTTTACTTGTCTCATTATGAGAAGGGGTCAAAATTGGCCGATGGGTTCCTATCTTTTTCTTAATTGGTCGCTTAACTAGCATATAGGGCCTAAACAGGCTTTGTTCCTCACCTAAGCTGCCCACTTGAGTTGGATTAGTGGTATCATTATCAGGATTCTTGTGAGGTATAGATTCCTCTGTGTTGTTCCCCTCACTATGCATAAGGATCACTTCTGAATTATTATTAGTTGATTTATGGTCAAGACAAAATTCTTGCCTATGTCCATACTTCCCACAGTGGAAGCATATAAGGTGCAGACCCTCGTACTCTACTTTGATCTCTTGACCTAAGACTTTGAAAACAAGAACTAATTTTTTCCTAAGGTCAAGTTCTACACAAATCCTGACAAACCTACCTCTAGAAAGAAGAGAAGTATTTGGGTCAATTTTCAGGATTGCACCTAGGTAGGATCCAACCTGCCATAGGAACTTCTCATTATATAGTTCAAGGGAGAGATCTGGGATGCAAACCCAGGAAGCTAGCTTCCTAAAGGTATGGTCTTTAAGCTTGAATAAAGGCCTCTAATGCTGGACTAGGAGGTAGTGGTCTAGAATTAATAGAGATCCCTCAAATAATGCATATTTATAATCTTCAGTGGTTTCAAATCTAACTAGGAATACTCATTATTCAAATCTAAAACTTTTAGGGGGCTATTTCGCCCTTAAAGGCTGCCTAATTCCTGATTCAAATTATTAAAGCTTACTGATTTTCCTAACAATTTAACTATTAGAAAGTATTTCCAGGATGAGCACCATTGTTCATAGTCTTTTAGGGAAACTCTCAGATTAGGATATAGTGTTTGGTCAGTTTCTGGAAGACCTTGTTCATCAATTTCAGGACTAATATTTAACTCCTCTAAAATAGTATTAACAATATTCTCATTCCCTAACATCATTTCTAATTCGTTTACTTACAAAACTTTATCTTTATAGGAAACCTTAGTAGAAAAATTAGAGTTTGAAAGCACCTAATCATCCATAGCTTCCTCCGCACTTTCTTGTTGCATGTCACTTCCAGAGTCTCTTCATAGTCAGGTAGTGCCAAGCTTTCCCAAAACATGACTAGGTTTCAAGGTGAAACTTTTCCCAACAAGGACCACTTCTTCAAGATTGATGGTGTTGAGATGAAGAGAAGAAGAAGCCAGGGTTTGTGGGAGACCCTAGCTGAGCCGATGCTTTGATGTCACAAAGAGACTCATAAGGATCAGAACCCTTCACGCCTAGGAGGTTGAGGGTTTAAAACTCGAGTATAGCTTCTTGCGGTACCCGCTGTAGTTTTGTTTTATATTTTTTATTTCCCATCCAGTTTAATCCGGATCTTGCTTAAGCGATACCGAATCGCTTGCCACTTGAACCATCTTCCGTTGGTACTAATATTTTGTAATTTTATTATTCGTTTTTTTAGCTTTATAGTATTATTTTATTACTTTCAAAATTTTATAGTACAAAAAATTATTCTATTTTGATTATATAGTTTTATAAATATAGATAATATAATATTATGATTAAAATATTATAATATTATATTAAACAAGATAACAAAATATTTGACCACATTTTTAAATTTTATGATTTATTTAATTTTGAAAATAATATATTTTTAAAAAAATTATTTTATTATCAGAAAGTATTATTTCTAAATATTTCTATATTATATTTTATATTGATAGTTTATTTTATGCAATTGGCTTTGCGGGGTTTCTATTAAAATTATAAAAAATTGTTTCATAATTAGTATGTAAAAATATTTAATGTATGCTTGGTTTTCGATTATTAAGGCATTAAAATGTTCTAAAACAAAAAGACATTGTGGCGATCATATGTAAATTTTAAAAGTGATGTAAATAAGTTACTTTTAATATAAACAATTAAAATAATTTATTAAAAATATAATTCCTAAAGATATTTTTTAAAGAATGACCAAATTCACACATTACTTGTCATTATTAATATTATGTTATGCAGTTATATATTAAAAACATCCCTTCTTTTAACAGTAAATTTGTTTGAAACACTTTTTTTTTTTACATTTCAATTTTTAACAAATATTATTTTAAGAAAATTTGAAAACAAATATTTATTAAAATCAATAATTAAAACATGTATTTAATACATATAATTTAATCATATTTAATATTAACTATAAATAACAACTTGAAGGTAAAAACTTCTTTAGATGTAAATAATCATATGCTATAAAAAATTTAACAACAATGTCATTTGATCAGAATCTTTGACAAGAAAAAACAAAAAGAAATTTATTATAGCCTTCAATAATGATAAGGTGTCTGATGTGACGGAGTAAGATAGTAAAATATTTATTATAGCCTTCTATATATCATTTTAAGGATAGCTAAGTCACTTGACATCTCATTCATTCACAGGTTGGCCTCCGCAGATTTTATTGAATTTGGAGGAAAGTATGGTGTGAAGGAAGATTTGGAAGAGCTCAAGAAGACAATTGAATCTATCAATGATATGCTCCATGATGCTGACCACGAACAAGAAGATCAAGTTAGTGTGCGAAATTGGATAGTGAACTTCAAAAAAGTACTTCATTGCGCAGATGACTTGGTGGATGATCTTGCTATCGAATTTATGCGACACAAATTGGATGCAGCACATGTAAAACAAGAAAACAAGGTACTTTATTCCTTTTCATCTTCAAGCCGAATTGATTTTCCCATTCAAATGGCTGAAGAAATTAAAAATATACGAGAAAGTTTTGATGCTGTTGTAAAAGCCATGTATAAATTGAAATTACGCCCAAGATCTGTTATGGTCAAGCAAACTGATAGTAAAGGGAGGGAAACGTGTCCTTTTGTGATAGAGACAGATATAATTGGAAGAGATGATAGTAAAAAGGAGATTATTGATCTGTTGAGACAATCTCATGAAAACCAAAAAGTTCCTCTGATTGCCATTGTTGGCATTGGTGGTTTAGGGAAGACAGCTCTTGCTCAGTTGGTGTATAATGACTTGGAAAAGCAGAATTTTTTTGAAAAGCAAATATGGGTGTGTGTCTCTGATAACTTTGATGTGATAACTATTCTGAAGAAAATATTAGAATCAATCACTGGTCGACGTGAAGACAAGTTATCATTTGTCAACTTGCAAAGAAAACTTCATGAAAAAATAAGAGGTAAGAAATATTTGTTGGTACTGGATGACATTTGGAACGAGAGACATGACAAATGGGCTGAATTGAGAAAGTACCTGATGTGTGGTGCTCAAGGCAGTAAGATTTTGGTGACAGCTCGAAGTGAAAATGTAGCAAAGGCAATGACTGCTAGCACTTCCTATCCTTTGAAAGGTCTGACTGATGAAGCATCTTGGAGTTTGTTGAAGAGCATTGCATTTGATGATGATTCCAAAGGAGTGAATCAAAATCTAGAATCAATGGGGAAAGAAATAGCCAAAAAATGTAAAGGGGTTCCACTGGCAGTTAAAACCCTGGGAGGCCTGTTACGAGAAAAGGAAGAAAGTGAATGGGAGAACGTTTTAAGCGGTAACTTCTGGAAATTATATGAAGAAGAGCAAGATGGTATTATGCCAATTCTAAAGCTCAGTTACCACAAGTTGTCGCCAGAAATGAGACAATGTTTTGCTTACTGCTCTTTATACCCCAAGGATTCAAAAATTCCAAAGGATGAGTTGATTCGGTTATGGATGGCACAGGGTTACCTTCGATGTTCAACTGAAAAACAGCAGATGGAGGATGTCGGTAATCAATTTGTAAAGATGTTTTTGATGAACTCATTTTTTCAAGATGTGGATAGTGAATACGGTGAGATCATTAGCTTCAAAATGCACGATTTAATGCATGATCTGGCAATGCTAGTAGCCCGCGGTGATTATTGTTACTTGGATAGTAAGGCAAAAAAAGTTGAAGGTAGACCCCTGCACGTATCATTGGAATCTTGTGAAGCCATTCATTTGTTGGAATCATTAGATCCGACCAGGCTGCGAACTTTGATTTTGCCGTACGACTTGAAAGAAGAGAAAGATTTGTCGGTTATTGCAGAGTCCAAATACCTACGTGTCTTGAGGATGCATCATCTCCCTGATTCCACTGAAAATTTGAAGCATTTAAGATACCTTGTTTTAACACAACCAAAAAGTCTTCCCAAATCTATAAGCAATCTTGTTTGCTTACAAACATTAAAACTCAAAGATTGCGATGAAGAATCATTTAGAGAAGTAGTCACAAAATTAGTTAATTTGAGGTGCCTTGATATTGCTCGTCATTGCTTGAGTGGAATGGCAGTTGGGTTGGGAAAACTATGCTCTTTGCAATTCTTATCGACCTTTGTTGTGGGAGACAGCCAAGAAATAAAATATGCCACATTAAATGAACTGAAGGCCTTAAACCTCAGAGGCAAATTAAGAATTGAGCATCTCAATCGTGTCAGAGAAGTGGCTCTTGAATCACAGCACGTAAATTTAAAAGAAAAAAAATTTCTTCAATCCTTGACTCTGGATTGGTCGGGGGATGAAGACCGCCTTAACAGTGACGACAGGTTGCAATTATTGGAAAACCTTCAGCCCCACCGCAATCTCAAGGTTTTGAATGTCTATCGTTATCCAGGCGTGCGTTTCCCAATTTGGCTTTCTCTCCTCACAAATGTTGTTCACATCACTCTCTCTAGCTTTGATAATTGTGGCTGTCTACCACCGTTGGGAAGACTCCCGTCCCTGAAGTCACTTGTTTTGCAGCGTCTTGATCGATTGGAATACATAGATCTCTACGAAGATGGTTTTGCAGTATCTTTGAAGAGCCTCTCATTATTTGCTTGTCACAGGCTCAAGGGATGGCGGAGGCAGGGAGATGATATCAATGATTCACATAATCTCTCATCATCTCTTTCATTTCCTCATCTTTCTCGACTGGAAGTCTATTTTTGTGAACGGTTGACTTGCATGCCTACTTTTCCAAACGTTAAGGATTTAAGATGGCGTCATTGCAGTGCGGAGCCATTAATAGCAACACTAAACTCAACATGTTCAGCTGACTCATCTTCCGCTGCTCCTCTTTCCTTGCTCAAACAATTGAAGATTTCTCATCCTATGAATTTACCAAAGGGTTGGATGCATAATCTGACTTCTCTCGAGTCTCTTCTAATTGAACGGAGTGAAAGTAAAACACTTGAGGAATTTGGAATTGGGTTTAAGGACGACACCAACTGCCTTCCTTCTCTGCGAAAAATCAGCATAGAAAGGTTTGAAAGGCTAAAGGCTTTGCCCGATTGGATTCGCAACCTCTTATCGCTTCAGCACATCGAGATCTACGATTGCCCAAATTTGGCATGGCTGCCCGAAAGAATGAGTAGTCTTACTAACCTAAAGATTTTTGAGGTCAGGTATTGTTCCTTCTTAATTAAAGAATGCCGAACAGAGGGAAGTGCTGTTCGTCGCCAAATCGAACATATCCCACAGATCATCCTTCGTGATAAGTGATGATAAAGGTACTGCTCAGATTCTGATGCGTATTTATTCTGTGTAAATGTCGTGTGTATTGGATTTGCTTTGCTAATAAAATACTTGAGTTAGTGTTCATTTGTTTCAAACATAAATAAAAATTATCCTAATCATATTAATTTTCAATTGTTAAACAGAGTCTTAACTGTCGTATACTTTATGCCAAAGTTTTTTTTTTTTTTTTTTTTTTTTTTTGCTTTGCACCGCTACTATTACAAAAATATAGTTTTTAAATTTTAATATTATATAATTTAATAAATTTTGTAAATAAATATTTAATTATATTAATAAGATTAAATCAAAGAAAGATAATTATAAAATTTGTGTTAGAAATTCATTTAAAAAATTAAAATTATTTTATAATAATAAAATTATGAATATTAATATATAAATATTTATTTTTTAATAATAATATTTTATTATATTAAATAAGAATAAATTAAAATGAAATTTTGAAAATTAGAAACTAATTAAAAAATGTTTAATATAAAATTAAAATTAAGACTGAATTAAAAAAAATTAAATATGAAATGCATAAAAAGTCACGTGACATAATAAGAAAGATAACTAATACCTAAAACTTTCTTATTTAACAATTAGAATCCAAATTATAAAGGCATTATATGCGTAGGGAATTGATTATTGATGTAAAACAAATATACACTAATTTGGGTTCCTTCTATTTCATAAATATGAAATATAAATTGATATTTTGTATAGTTTTAATTTCTGTTTACTTTTTACAATTTTTTAGATTTTTATTCTTAATTTTGAATTAAAGGTAAATTTTCAAATTTTAGTTTTATTATAGGAAAAATCATTCTTTGAGTGTTAACAGGTGAAAATGGAAAGGAGAAAAAAAAAAAGAAATTTTAGATATTGAAGAGTTCTTAACTATTGTTGAAATTCCGTAATGTTGGGAACCACTTACAATAGAACAATTGTATTTCTTTTTTCTCCGCTTTTTGATTTTAGATTTCAATGATTTGATAGTCATAATTATTTAGATATTTCATAGCGACTCTCAAGTATTAAATTATAAATATATTTTCAGGGTCTGTCGTATTTTATTATTAAATATGTGAAAAGAGCAAGAGGCATTTATACATTACCTAGTACTCACCTCTCACTTTAAGTTCTCAAAACACAAGGCAAAGATCTCATCTTGAACAACATTTAACGTTGATATTATAGAAAAGGAATCATACTATTTAGTATCCATGTTTTTCTCTTCTAAAAGCCTAGTTTTTTAAGATTTATAATTAGGAAAGGAAATTCTCCTATTATATCATGTAATTTAATATTTATAATTAATCTAGATCTCCTAATTAGTGATTTATGATGGTATGGAGTTGATACTAGTGCATTATTCAGATAATTGGTCTGCAACTTAGTAAATGAAATATATAAAAGCAGCCAATTTTATAGTAGTTGTTTGTCAGTGTATATATTTTCTACGAAGAAAGGCAAAAGGGACCTAAAGGTATGGTATGCGTACTTATATCATAATTAGGTGTTTTTAGCTTTCGTAATGCACCAAACTGTTCTTCAAATCCTTGAATCTAGGCCAATTTACCAAGATTATAATAATTGAGTTATTGTTGTTATAGGTAAATTTTGCGTTGGGGTCATATTGAACGTAGTTCTTTTTATTATTCATTTCAAAACTTGTTTGAGTTTGGTAATTGAAAGGTTCTGATAAAAACTACTCTTTGGCAAGCTAAGTTGAAGAAAGTGAATATGATGCTGCCAACAATGTGCTATTGGGACTAACAAGAGAAAATATGCAGGTTATCCTTTTTTCTTTGCCCTTGTTTTTGTTTTTTCTATGCACTAATTTGGGTTTCTTCTACTTCATAAATGTAAAATATAAATTGATATTTTTTAATAGTTTCAATTTTTGTTTACTTTTTACAAGTTTTTTAGACTTTGGTTCTTAATTTTGAATTGAAAGTAAATTTTCAAATTTTAGTTTTATCACGAGAAGAATCATTATTTTAATATTTACAGGTGAAAATGGAAAGAATGGAAAGGAGAAGAAAAAAGAAATTCTGAACATTGAAGACTTTCTAAAAATTGTTAGATTTCCATTACGTTGGAAACCACTAATAATAGAATAGTTGTGTTTCTTTTTTCTCCTATTTTGATTTCAGATTTCGGTGACTTGTTTGTCATAATCATTTAGATATTTTATAGCGACTTTAAAGTGCTAAATTGTAAATATATTTTTAGAATCAAGAAAGAAAATTCTTCTATTGTATCATGTAATTTAATATTTATAATCTAGATCTTATTAGTGATTTAGGATTGTATGGATGAAGAGAAGTGCCATTTGCATGTTGCAAAGAAGCAAGATGGAGGAGAAGACTGAAAAAAAAAAACCCTAAAAACTTGGATTATATAAGTCAGGACATAATAAAATGGATGGATCAAACCGAGTCAATTAGGTTTTTTTAAAAAAATTGAGTTTTTATTAGGGCTTAATTATTATTTTTTAATTAATATAAGGACAAGGCTAGGCCATAGGCTAAAACCCTCTTTGAAAGCATATTTTTTAAGGACTAAATTGAAGGACTTATTATCTTTTAGAAACTAAAATGAATGATAGACCACACTTTGAATGATTAATTTTAATATTAAAGGATTGAATTGAATAATCTATCTTTTTGTGCTTAAAAAATATGACAAATTATGTATTCAAAAACTATTTTTAATATTTCTTTCTTTTAAAGACTAAATTGAATGACTCCGTCTTTCAAGAATTAACATGAGCAAAAATCAAGAGAGTGAGGATGTATGCTCGGACGAATGAGTGGACATACAAAACAACTTTATCAGACAACAAATTGATTAATTTTTTAATATGAATGTATCAAGAACTCTTGACAAAATATTTATCATGAAAGAAATATACAAATAATTACCACATTTAGTCCTTTCTGTCCAAACCTTAAACAAGACTTAGTACAACAGTAAATTTTATTTTTTCCATTGTTTTCTTCACTCTCCTCTTGCTCTCTCTTTCTCTGACATAATTAAGATTAGGAGGTAAACAAAATCTATGGTGAAAAGAAGACAACTGATAACAAGTTGGACTATGTGTTGGATTGCTGGCAAACTTGACCATTTCCCTAGCTTCTTTGGGTCCAATGATTTGTACAAAATTGCAAAAACAACCTCAGACCTGAAGACTTCACTTCTTCATACATAGAAAATGCCAAAAGAGTGCTAACAAAATGTTCGTAAACAAGTTTACCTATCAAAAAGTAATAAAAGGTTTTCGAATTAAGAGTTCTCAAGTTATCGTCCCACAAAAATTATTTTCAAGTACCAAGAATAACTTAATTTAATTGTTTAAACGTAATGGGATTGTAACACATAAAAAATAGAGCTTAATGTTAACAATAAATTAAAAGAACAATAATATAACATGAGAGAAATTGGATGAGATGAGCCTAGGACTTATGGATTCACCTACTACACTTCTTTATGTTCTAATTAATTTAATCCTGCTATTGGTATCCAAATATTTTCCAACCACTCATAATTAGTTTTATTAACATTTAATGATTATGCAATGTCAATAACTTTTCCCTGAGCAAACACTCCCAATGATCATGTAAGGTAATTGGTCGAGAAAGTATGAAGATCCTATGAGTTTGTTGATTCAATAACGGCTGAAAGAAAGGAATTAAGTGTGATTAACCTAACCCCTTGCCTCGTTTTATCCTATAATGTAGCTAACTATGGAATGCTAAGGGTGTAACACCTTAATTTAATTTTTCAAATAATAAATTTTGCAAAAAAATTGAGAATAATAATAATAAAAATTTTCCTTCCAATAAGATTCTTATCACATGGGTTCATAAAATAATTCGAAATAGAAGAAACAGTTACAAGTTTATATCAATCGACTGCTACATGACCATTTCAAATACAATAGTTTCAAAATAACATTTTAAGCCCTATAGCAGTTCCATCCACCTCTTCACTGAATCCAGTACTGATCGTCTTGATTACCTGAAAAGTGAATATAAGGGTGAGTACTCTACACTACTCAACACACAAACAAGCATAGAGTCTCACCTTGCACATACTTCACATCGTTTCTAATGCATTTTTACATAAGTATAATCACAAGCAATCATTTTCAAGCATTTCACTTTCATTCACAACCGATGCACTTACGGCACCAAAATGGCTTACACACCTGCGCTCTCACGGCACGTCGCCACGCTCATTGTGGCACTGTGATCACTGTTTCACATCATGGATGGTTGTCAGTTACCCCCGCCTCATGGATACCACGTAGGCAGTTACGAGTTGTTCGGCAAAGGTAGTAGTCAGAGGTCTAGTTAGGAAGAGAATATGCGGCCCGTGGTGCACCCACGCTCACTGTTGGTGTCACCACCATTCTCTCTTCCCTGAGGTATTTCTACCATCCCCATCTTCTACACCTCCAGTGTATCTCTGAACCATTCATAACATCATTACAACGGCGTTTAACATACCCCATTCACACATATTTCAGTCACACATGCATATTTATGCTTGCACAAGCACACATGCCCATATTTCATCACATAATGCTCAATCATACAGCTCTTATCAAATATTACTACAACCCACTCATTTCATCATATTCAAATCATCATTCAACCACTTTCAACACAAATAATACCAACCAACGTTTAATACATCATATCCGGCATGCGAAATACATCAAAATACACATGTTCCTACACCCTGTCTCAACCACATTACAACATATAGCAAATAATTGGATTTTGAAACAAAATGAGATAGGGTAGAGTCCCGCCCTTACATCAGATTGAAGGCCCACACGCAAATCGATCCGAGGAAGTGCTCCCCACACGGATTTCATCCTAAATACATAGAAGAACTTCATGAAAATCCAGAAAAATCACGAAAATAGAGAATGATAATGAAAAATTGAAGCCCTAATCATTAAATCTCACCTCTAAACGGTCCAAACACGAATCCAACCTTAAATCTAGCTCTCGAACGACTTTGGAGGTAATTTATTCGGTGGAATAGGGTTTAGGAGTGAGAGAATCAAAGAAATTTTGAAGGGAATGGGAGAAATAAACTTCCCCGAATCCTAACCCCCTTTAAATCCTCTCTGGTCGCGACACTCTTGC